GGTGCCCGACCAGTTCCGGATGTGTCGGAGGAACCTGGAGGTCATGGGCAGCATCGTCCGTGCCGCTCGCCAGACCAAGAGCGTCTGCCAGAAGACCTTCGCAGACATGAGGTGGAACTGCTCCTCCATCCAGCGTGCCCCCAGTTTTGGCCCTGACCTGCTGAAAGGTAAAGGATGCTTCGCCCGCTGCGTTCGTGGCTCCTTTGATATACAGCGCTGCTGTTCAGCTGATGGCTGTCAATTTTGGAGAAACTCGCTGCCGTTACACCGGTGTTAATCCTGTGCAACTTGGTTCGGCAGGAGTTGAGAGATAGTAACTTCCATTTCGAACAAAAACAGCTGCTAGAGGCTCCAAAAAAAATAGTGGGAAGAGGTACACACAGGCTGTATACTGAGAGTGTGATAGGAGAGATGGCACAGGTTAAAAATACAGCACGTGAAAAACACTGAGCCTTGGTTTTATCCTGTTGCAAGAGAAAAAAATACCCTCGTTTGCATTGCGAGATTCCCCGAGAGGAGTGTTTGGCTGGGCAGGAAGGACATCTCCCCCTCTTCTTCCCAGGAACCCGGGAATCCGCCTTCGTCTACGCCCTGGCTGCCGCCGCCGTCACGCACTCCATCGCCCAGGCCTGCACCTCGGGAGAGCTCCCGCTCTGCTCCTGCGGCTCCGTCCCCTCGGAGGTCCCCGGGCCGGATTTCAGATGGGGTGGCTGCGGGGACAACCTGCGCTATGGCCTCCAGCTTGGCGCTGCTTTTGCTGACAGTCCCTTAAAATCCAGCAAGCCGGGGACACAAGCGCTCAAGGCCATGAATCTGCACAACAACGGGGTGGGCAGGCAGGTGGGTATGGTGCCCACCATGGATGGCTGCAGCCCAGCACACCTTACAGCAGCCTGGGGGGCCGAGGTGCCTAATGGAAGGTGGTAGACTCCAGCCCCGCTGTTGGGATGCTGTCCTTCAAGTCAGGAGGCAACTAAATGGTTAAGATGGAGTTACATGTGTTTGCAGAGACATCCCCCGCTGCTACCCTCCCCAAACATCCCTGCACCCTTTCCACAACTAGCAGAAGATATTTGCCACTTCACACCAGTACTTCCAGTACTTCTTTCCGCCCCTCTCATGGGAGCAGAGACCGGTCCTGCCCCGTGCCAGCCGGGCTCCCCATCCCTGCCCAGGACTGTGGGGTTTGGTGCTTCCATGTGCTCGTGTTCCCCAGGTAAGGATGTGGCCACCCTGCACCCACGTGGGCTAGGGAAGCCACCAGCCCCGAGGCAAGCTCCAGCAGGGACTTCCCCACGGGTTAGATTCTTATCACAGGGGAGTGAAGCAGGGCTGAGTCCTTGATTGCCCCATTATATTCATTTAAAGGTGGCAGTATGCAGCTGAGCTCTTTCATCTCTTGGAACTTCCCATGGATGCTCTTGCAAATCAATCCGTAGGGTGGGTACCAGGAGAAAGCAGAAGCAATTTTATCTGTTTTCCTGTCCTCTGCAGGTGCTGAGTGACTCCCTGGATACCAAGTGTAAATGCCACGGTGTTTCAGGCTCCTGTTCGGTGAAGACTTGCTGGAAGGGACTGCCAAACCTGGAGGAGATTGCTTCGGACCTCAAGTCCAAGTACCTGGCAGCCATCAAGGTGACCCACCGGCTCATAGGGCCCAGGAAGCAGCTGATACCCAAAGAAATGGACACCAGGCCAGTGAAAGAGATGGATCTGGTTTATCTCATCAACTCTCCTGACTATTGCACTCCGAATCTCCACCTGGGGTCCCTGGGGACACAGGACAGGTAAGAACCTGCTGCAAGTAGGCTCTAACTCCGCCTCCCGTTTCAGGAGCGTCTGTACCATTGGGTTTGAGAGCACACTCCGGGATGCTGGTGTGGATGGGCGATCCCCCGTTAGATGGGGACACCACAGGGACTGCTGTGAAATCTTTACATCTTAAAGTCTCAAGGAGGGCAGGAAGGTAGATATCATTTTTGCAGAGCTCTGCAAGGGAGGGCCCTCACTGAGAGTCCGTTAGCTCCACTCTCCAGGACAGGGTTCATCCACCCAGGAGTCAGAAAGGCAAATATCACCTCTCCCTGCGAGCCTTCGGGTGCTGCCTGCTGGTAACCAGAAGGGTTCAGAAGCCCTCGGAGTCTGCGGTGCTTCCCAGGCGTCTCCTTTCTGGAGTGACTGCAGGGCAGGGGGAAGTTTTTAGAGGGATGGGGAAGCCTGGTCTGAAAGCTGGGCCAGTGCCTCGGGGCTGTGACTCGCGATCCCTGTTAGATTTAGCAGTAGCAGAAGTTCCTGGTCCTGGTCACCCACCCTTCCTCCTCCACGGGGAGCTCCTGCCCCCAGCATGGTATGGAGCGAGTGTGCCCGACCTCAGCACGGCTGCTCAAACGCTGCCTTAGTGCCAGGAGCCGACACCAGCCCCAGTTTGCAAGCAGCCCCCTGCATCTGCCTGCCTCCTGCTACGGGCACGTGAACTCTGGGAGGAGGCCAGGGCAGATAGCTGTGGTGGGCACCACCGCCAGAGGTGGGCACCACTGCCAGGGGTGGGCATGTATGGTCCCTCAGCTCCCGCTTATGCACTCTCCTCTCGGCAGGCAGGGCAACAAGACCTCCGTGGGCAGCGACGGCGGCGACCTGATGTGCTGCGGCCGCGGCTACAACACCTACACGGAGGAGGTGGTGGAGCGGTGTCACTGCAAGTACCACTGGTGCTGCTACGTGGTGTGCAAGACGTGTCGGCGGAAGGTGGAGAGATACGTCTGTAAGTAACGCCAGCGGTGCCAGGCAGGCGGGAGGGCTCTTGTGCTGGTATCCCTCAGGGCACAGCTGGAGACCGAACGCCGGCAACGGATATGGGGCCAACCTCTGCTCCGTCTCTCCGGAGCAAGACAAAGGGCTGCCCTCCTGCAGCCCACGGGGAGCGTCCAGCCCTCTGTCTCCAGCTGGGGACAACCCATTTATCACTCGGCGTGCACAGCCCCTTTTCTCCAGGGGTGAAAGGGGACCCTGGGCTGCCATTGTCTCTTTGCAGGAGGTTTCTGACAGTGGCCTGAAAGGCAGGAGTGATGGATGGGAAGGGGGAAGAGAGTTTTCCGTTGGGAGAAAGCTGCTTCGGGTGAGGAGGTCATGGGCAGCTCCTCTGGGGGCAGGTTTCTGCTGCAGGCTCACCCAACACCGCTGAACGTTCCTCCTCGGGGGCAAATACTGGTCCAGTGCCCTTTGCGGCATCTGAAGTGAAGACCAGGCTTGGACAAAGGCAGAACCAGTTATTGCTTCGTGAGCCAGGACGCATCGATCCTCCCCACGACCTGCACGGGGATTGCTGTGCTTTCGCCGATGACGATGGCACGCAGACCCAGGGAGCGGGGCGGCTCCGGAGGCTGCCGAAGCAGGGCAGCGTGGCACCACTGCACCCAGCAGCCCTGCGTTAGCAAGGCAGCCATGGCAGCACCCTAGCTTCTGCCCTCTGGGCTGGCATCAGAGGTGGAAGCCCACTCAACACGTGGCATACTCATGGCTCTTCCTGCTCCTTCTTTTAGACCACTAAGGTCTTCACCCCACTCCTTACACCCCGTTAATGCCAGGTGTGCTGGCATGCTGGGGATAGGACATGACTCCAGGGCCTTTGGGAAATAAGAATGAGCCTTTAGTCTCTGTACTTACTGGGAGTGGGATTCCAGTGTGTGTTTTTTAAATAAATGTATTACACTGTACCTCTTCGTGATGTGTTTTCTAGGACAACCTCCTTCCATCTCCTTCTCAGCTGGCCCCAGAGGAAGCGGGGCTGTAAGGAGAGCGTAAAGCCCGGTGTCCTTACGCTTGCATTGCACACCATGGGGGACCACTTCAGTTTTAACTCTTTCTGCTGCTCATCAGCCCGGCCTTGCCCTTAATTACAGATATCTGTCAGCCCCAGCTACTGTGCACATACGGAAAACCTGCTGAAGGTTTCTATCACCCGCTTCCTCAGGTCTCTGACCAGCCAGCAAGGCATCTGGCCTCCTGGGGTTCATCAGGCAGTCTGGGATGATTTTCTGATCCTCATGGATGTGGGCTGGACTAGCCATGCGTGTGTGAAGAGCACGGGGTCAGGAGCCAGGGCTGGGGCTCTGATGGCCCCCCCTTTTCCCATAGCGTGGAATCTGGCCAAGCACTTTCCTGGGATGAGAGATTCCTGGTCACGCAGGCTTGGGAGAGAAGGGATGAGTCTAAACACACTGGCGCTGAGGAGAACCCGCAGCACAGGGAGGACAGGTCAACGTGGTGGAACCCCCGGGGCGATTCCCCGCAGCTCACAGCACGACCCAGAGACTCCGGCAGCCTCGCGTGCGCCTTGGGCTCTGTGCTTTGCACTGAATGGAGTTGGCTGCCTTCAGCCCCGAGCCCAGCTGTACCATTACTCATTTCCATGGCCATTCCATCATTTTTAATAGCCTCTGCTGGGTCACGGAATCAATTCATGAGCTTTTATTGTAAACCGTCCCTTCCGCTTAATGTGCTCCAGGTTTCTGTAGGAACGGCGAGGAGCCGAGAGTGGAAGGTGGCTTGAGACAAGGCTGGGAGCTGAAAGCTCAGGGGTGAAGCATATGCTCCTGTCGTTAACTGGGTGAGTTCACCATCATCATCAGTTGTTAACGTGCCCTTGACTCGATCTGCAGTCGCTTCCCAGAGTGACTGTAAAGCCGCAGCTGTACGGCGTCCCTCGCAGCTGCCAAAGGCCAAAAAAAACTATCTTGAATTTTCCTTCTAAAATGCAATTAGGGGTTAGTGCTGGCGTTTCTCAGCAAAGGGAGTCTTCAGCTGCTGGGCTGCAAAACAGGATTCTGTGTGCAGAGCCAGGCTCAGGGAGAGGTGATGCAGGTACTTAATTAGGAGGATTGCTTAAATACCTCCCCTATAGCCACCTCCTGTGCTTGGCCAGATCAGAGGGAGGTGAAACCAGGAGGGGCTGTGAACTCCGCAGAGCATTTGAGAAAAAAACAGGGGAAGGATCTTGCGGGGTGAGAGATTCAGCCAGGAGGGTGGGAAACGCGATTTGCATTTGGTAACTACAAACAGACGTGGCCTGGGGCAGGGGAGAGGAGCCACAATAGCTAGGAGTGCCCCGGGGAGATGTCCTGATCCCCTCCTAGAGAGGTCCCGTTTGAATTTCCGCCTGGGAAAAGGCAGGGTCAAGCGCTGAATATGCAGAGTCCTCTCCTCCTCTCACTCCTCCAATCTCCACCGCAAGCCCAACAGGGAAGAGCTGGGAAAAGACAGGTGGGGTCAATCAGCAGCGAGGACCTGGGCTCCGTTTGTGTCCCGCGGGAAATCGGAAAGCGCTGTAATTAGTTGAGGGGTGCAAAGGGTCGGGCTGGCAGGAAGGACGATGGGGAGGTGACAGTTAAGTGACAATGCTCTGAGTGGGAGCTGTTGTGATCCACACCCCTGGATTTACCAGGCTTGTGAGATCGGCTGGACTGGGAGAGTTTCCCATGGACCGAGAGCCAGAGCAAGGCAGTCGGCATCAGACGACGGATCCAGAGGGAATAAACCCTGTGCTTGGTCCCAGGGCTGGAGGGGATCCATCTGACTGGATGCATTTTCACTCTCTAACCCTGCCTGAGCAGCAAAGCCAGCAGGAAGGTGCCAGGGGAACAAGGAGCCCCTTCACCCCACCTGTGCTAGCACAAGCACCCTCCGAGGTGAAAGGTGGAAGACGCAGACCCTGACATCCCTCTCTGGGAATGAGTGTCCCCGGAGCTGAATTCTCCATGGCCATGGCAAAAGTCTTTCACTTTCTGGTGCTGTGAGCTGACATGGGAGAGATGGCTGTGGAAACGGCTCGTGCATTGAAGAAAACCATCCCTCTCCATGAAATGTGGTGAGAACCAGGCAGAGGGTTTGCTCTGAAAAGCCTCCTCTTCGTTACTGCTTGGCTTTTAATTTGGATTTAAAAGGAGTAACGCTGGTATGAATGTGATTGTTCCCTGCTGGTTAGGCTTGTGCAGACAATGAAGTCTGGAGAAAGGAGAGTGATTTTCATGGACTCTTTTGACTTTGCTGCTAATGCACTAATCTATTTTTTTTCCTTTTATTTCTTTATTCATTGAGGGATGCTGCATAACTGTACTGCTGTAAATATTTGGGGGATGTTGCTTTGACCTTTGGGACGGTTGGTGCCTACTCTATCACACCGCAAGACACAAACATGAGTAAAAATGCTTGTATTTAAGGAAAAACCCTTGCATCTCTGTTCTCCTTTATTTCTGGGGTGTCTGACAACATCACGATGCCTTAAGGATGACAAACAATAATAGGGATTGTCCTTATGGGGATCTTTAGCGAGGGACAGGGACAAATCAACATAGGTGAGTAACAGCCATAAGACCAGAGGGGGAACCAGGCTGAAGACTGGGCGTAGCTTGAGCAGTTGCAGCAATGTGTGAGGTTCAGAGGGGAAGCAGTCTTCTGTCCCTTCTCCTAGGCTGGGCAGGCTGGCATCCCTTCCAGCTCTGAACCCTGTATTCCAGCAAGTTGCTCAATCAGAGTGAAAAAGTCCCAGATACTGCAGGTTTGTAGCGTACTCGTCACATCCGTGGGGGCCAGGAGGAGCGGGGTGGCATTTCTGAGCACCCTGGTCTCCCTTCACCAGCCCATAATTCTCCCTCTCGCTTGCTTAAACTCATCCACGTTCAGTGTGGGTGGCATCGCAGAGGCTGCTCACGGTGGACTTTTCAGACTGCCTTTCTGCTGGTGAGAGAAGGTGCCGTGGCCACCTTGTTGAATCCTGGCATGGTGATGGCATCTTCCCTTTGGGCATCCCTGGAGACACTGCCTCCAAGGGCCGTCAGAAAGCGAGTTAAGGCAGGGAGGGAGCTGCAGAACAGTCTCCCCTCCAGAGCAGAAGCTGACGTGGGCCCGTGAGCCACCGTGGGGCTACCACCCAGCTGGGCTTTTCCAGGAGCATCCTCCCACCAGCCCAGAACTTGGGCCACACAGATTTTGAGGACTTTCTCAGCTTGCGTATGTGCCAGCTGTGACCGCTGTGCGTGTGCTGTGTGGTGGAGGAAGGAGTTTCCAGGCATGCTGCAGTCTGGCTGGAGCAGCACTCGTGTGCTGGAGGATGACATGCAGAAGCTCTAACATCATCCAGGAAGACTGGATGTATGTGTAATGTGCTGCAGCTCCTGGGAAGCACCGGGCAGGCCTTCTGGATGTGCATGGCCAGATGTTCTACACATGTGTGCTAAATGCAGTACACAGCGGCGGTAGGTTTTACTACCTGTACGATGGGAAGTACATGGGCACGTTCCATGTCTGGAGGTGGAAATGTGAGAACCCTCCAGAAGCTGAGGCTGATCCCTAGACATTGACTTCACGCTGAAAACCTTCCACTGAGACACCTGGCAGAACTGGGGAGTGGGAGAGGCCAACCCCCAGCTTGCCAGCGCTCCGGGAACTCAACCTTTTCCCACGCAGTGGGACTAATCACAGCTACGATTCTACAGTCTCCAGCTTGAGGCTCATTGCGGTGCGACCAGGAGCTTGCTGGGTGAACAGACCTTCCAAAGAATCATTTCTTTTCCGCTTGCGTTGAGAGCATTAGCTCTGAGATTAGAAGGGGCAGCTCAGAAGACCATGTCCCACCAGGTGGACCTCGGAGAACAACACGTGCAGCTACGTGCTGTAGCTGTGCTGGGGCTGGCGAGCGGATTCCAGGCTCCTACAGTGTAACTGAAACCCATTCTTGACCAGTTAGGACAGCAGATAAAAACAGGGGGCTGATC